CTGGTATAGGAAGAGGAGTGCCAGTTACAACTTCCACCCACTAACCCATCCATCCTTCCACCGGCCTGGAGATTGGTCCTCAGTCTAGATCCATTGGCTGAGGACATTGTTACTGTTTCTTATTACTAAAGGAGCTCCTATGTGTCCTGCCTGCTCCCCCAACTTTTGTCAAGCCGGACCTCCTCCAAGAAGCTTCACTTAGTAACCAGAGCAGGAACTGTTGGTTTAGGACAGTGGTTGTCAAAATATGGTGTCTGGATTAGTTACAGAGCAGCAGCAGCAGCAGGGAACTTGCTAAAATTACAAAATCTCAGACTCCTACTCAACTGGACACTCAGGAGATAGATTCTGACGTGAACTGTTAGTCTAAGATTTGGGCAATCTCTTTCTCTAAACAAATTCTATTCTACTATCACTCATTTTCTATAATCATTTTTATTTCTATCACACCTAATCCCAAAAAGAATGTGGGAGGCCAATTCTAAAATACTTGGATGCTAGTATAACTAAACACTTGACAGAGAGAGCCTCTCCCCTCCAGTATCTGCCAGGCTCACCTCCTTACCTCCTCCAGGTTTAGCTGGAGTCCTTCCTTGACCATCTCTAAACATCCACGCCTTCCTGCAGCCTCTTTCTCACTCTCTTCTGTCTTCTGCTTTATTTTTCTCCTTAGTGCTTGCGACCATTTAATGCCTATGCAATGTATAATTTCTTATGTTTATTATTTCTTTTCTCTGCATTGTAAGCCAACTGGCACTCTCCATCTATTTTATTCCTTGCTTCATTCCCAGCATCCCAATCAACTCCACTTCCACATCTATTTGCTCAATAAATGAACTTCACTTTGAGATCTGCCACTGAGTTTTACTCTGAGCCTCTTCGTAGCCAAACACACACAAAGTTCTATGGGAATTGAGACTCTGTTTGGGAAGGACAGACTCCATGGACATCTTCCTTTCTGCCCTGTGCACTTCTATAGGAGGTTATGTCAGCATTTCCAGTCCCCAGAGGCTCTACGTCAGAGTGTGTGTGTGTGTGTGTGTGTGTATACATATGTATATACATATATATGTATGGTTACTTCCAAGCTGAGTCTATCTGCAGGTTCCTGAAACATAGATTCAACCAACTGTGGATCAAAGATGTTTAAAAACAATAATTGCATCTATATTGAACATGTACAGTCATTTTCCTTGTTCTTATTCCCTACATAATATAGCATAAGAGTTAGTCATGTATAGGCACCTGGTTTTAGGTACTTAAGTGACCTAGAGATTATTTAAATATGTAAGAGTATATTATGAGTTAAACAGAAAAGTTACACATTTGATACAAGGGGCTTGAACATCTATAGCTTTTGGGACCCCCCAAGGGACAGAACCAATGACCCTCAGATGCTGAGGGGTGACTATAGTCAGCTTTGTAGGTGAAATGTGGCAGAGGAAGAAGGGAGGAGGGAGAAGAAAATTCATCCATATTGAGTTCTTTCCAAATGCCAAAAGAATCGCCCCCACCTTGGGAGAATGTATCCAGCCCTGATAAATTTATAAAGTATTTGACCTTTAATCAATCCTAATATTTTCAATCCACAGAGCCTTCTTAAACGCCTGCAGCCCTACCCCCGAACCCCTATTCATCACAATTACTGCTCCAACTGTCAGAGGCAGGGCATGAAATGGCGCACGCTGACGTCCAATATTTTATCACTAATAAAGAGAAACATCCAAAGTATTTGCACAGTTCTGATATTTTCCAGCCCTGAGCCCAGGAAAAGGGGGAGCATGGTGATTTATGCTCACTACCCAGCATTGTTAATTAGCTTTCTCAGCCAGGAGCCCTGAGGATTAGGGGTAGGGGAAACCTGCTTTTCTTTGCCTCCTTGGTCATGGCCATGGCACACAGTAGGCCCTTCACCTGGCAACTGGGAAATGGTGTAAAGCACTGTAAAGGCAATTTTTCACAACCAACGTTTGGCCAATGTACGCTTACCCTGGTGGCTTCATAAACAGATCCAATGTTTATGAGGAATCTTGTTCTAGTTGTTGCCAAGGCTCAATCCTCCCCCAGTTCCTGGTCTTGCTTCCCTGCCTCACTCTCCCACCCCATCCCCAGGCAAGTTGGGCCACCCAGTCCCAGTCCCTTCTGGGTTCAAAGTCCCTCCCTCTCAGTTGCCCAGCTCCAAGTAGCAGGAAGCTGATGGGCATTCAAAAGACCCACAGGCAGGCTACATCTTCACAGCGCCCAAACGTCTGGATGAAAAGTAAATAAAACAAGCAGATGTTTTTTCTCCTTCAGGATAGCAGGTGCCACCGCAGAGTCCTTCAGCCTCAGGCTGTAAGGGAGGGGCTCTTCCAAAGTCTATGAACCCATTCGGAGGGCTGCACACTCACTGCCCTGATCAAGGTCTCACAGAGGGGAAGGAATCAAGGAAGCTAAACACCCCTCCCTAGAAATGAAGCTGGCTGGGAAGGTGGCTCAGTGGTAAAGTGCTTGCCTTGCATGCATGAGGCCCTGGGTTCGATTCCTCAGCACCACATAGCAGAAAAAGCTGGAAGTGGCACTGTGGCTCAAGTGGTAGAGCACTAGCCTTGAGCTGAAGAGCTGAGGGACAGTGTCCAGGCCCAGAGTTCAGGCCCCACAACTGGCAAAAAAAAAAAAAAAGAAATGAAGGTGGCTGTGGAAAGTGGCATTTGTGTGGACAAAGCAAGTTGGGAATTAGGGAAGGAAGGAAAAGAGGAGGGATATCAGGGCAAATCAGTGGAGGGGAAAGAGCTGCTGTTAAATTCCTCTTTAATTTCCTTGGGACAAAGGTCTCCATATTCCACACCACTGCCTCCTGAAGGGACTGTCCCCAGAGAAATGGATCAGTACAAACTTCCTCCATAGCCCCAGAGTCTGATGTACATAGGGAATTGGGTTCTAGAGACAGAGGAAGACGCGGGGTTCCAAAAATAGTTCCAAACTCCCCTTCTACCGCCTCGTCTCCTGCCTAACAGCAGGGCAAATGGGTACATCATATCAGACTAATAAAGGGATGGGGAGGGGCCAGGAGACCATGAGAAGCAGGATCGAAGCCACAGAGACAAGAGGCAGAAAGAGATGAATTGGTTACCATTTGCTTTCCTTCTCTGCTCCTATCTACCAGGCTCTGTACGTCCCTAGGTGACACACAGTCCATGCCCCCAGCTTCTACCTCCAACCTCCAACCTGTGTAGCAGACGCTTCCCAGCCTTCTGTATGACACTCAACACACTCCCCTAGCCCTTTCCCCCACTCCACCAACCCCCTATGTGACATTAAACACACTCCCTCAGATCTCTCCTCTACTCCTCACGCCCTGGGTGCACTGACATTCTCCAATCCTGTCTCACACTTACTCAGTCCCTGAGAGAAACACTGAACACACACCCAGCCCGGTCCCTGACTTCTCCAGCCCTGTGTGACACTGAACACACGCTCACAGTCCTTTTTTCCCTTCCCCCATTCTCCGTGTATAACACTAAACACACTCCCTGATCCTGTCCTCAACTTTCCCAGTCTCTCAGAGCTCCAGTCCTCTCCCCTGACTCCTCTAGCCCTTAGGTGTAGCACTGAACACACTCTCAGTGCGTTCCTCCCGTCATCCCCAGCTGTGTGTAACACTAAACACACTTCAAGATCCTGTCTTCAACTTCTCCAGCTCCTTAGTGTGCCTTTAAATACATTCCCCTCCCCAGCCCCTCTGCTTGACTAACCTCAGGTATAACACTGAACATACGATCCAGGTCTTCTTCCTCCCTCAATCCTGGGTGCAACAGTAACACACTCCCCCAGTCTTGTCCTGGCTTTCTGATAGTCCACTGATTTGGGTCCCAGGGCAAATACTTCCCTTTGACCTCAGTGTTCCTATCTGTGCAACTGAGTTGCAATCTGACATCAAGTTTCCACAGTTAAAAATTCAAAAACTGTACTATGCTTTGGGGGTAAAAAAAAAAAGATTACATTTTTGGTAGGGAATATCAGGGGATTTTTCTTGCTTTTTTTTTTTTTTTAAATGAAACAGGAAGTGTCAAGCATTGCCTCAAGGCTTTGAGTTTTCAAAGGAAAATTTTTCACTCCAGATAACCGTAGCAGCCCATAGCAGTCCCTGACAGAAGTCGGGGGAGGGGGGGGAGGGGGGGGTGGTGGTTCCTTTCACATTAAGACTGGGAGAAAGGGGTAGGAATCAGACACAAAGAGCTGAAGTATGGATGACAGAGTCCCCCTTCCCCCAAGTAGCCTCGCTTTTTAACTCTGTGGGTTAGAAGTTTATAGGAATTCTGGATCCATGGTTTCCTACGGTCGCTTTTACAGATCTTGTTAATTTATTACCCATGGTTACACTTTTAATGGAAATCATGAAGAAATGGCAAAGGAAACATGAGCTAATTTTTTTTCCAGTGACACATTTCACTGCTATTTAAATAGCTGTTTTGCCAAACCAAACACAGCGCTTACAGCCAGCGGTGACACATGAAGGAGATCACTGTAGCCAATCCAGCCTGCGGCAACCAGAACAGGCCAGACTTTCTCTCAGCTTCCCCAGGGGCTGGATGCCAAGGCGGTGGGGGGGACAGGGCTGGAGTGTAGGCACAGCTGGAGCCCGAGCTGGGGAGACCGCAGCTCCCATCCTCCCCAGGCAAGACTACTTCTCTGGTGTCCACTACTGCTTACCTTCTGAGGGGTTCTGGGTGAGTTTTACCCTTCTGTTTGGACCGCTCCCCATGCCCTCCCCCAGTAGGCCTTACCCAGGGCCACTAGCAAAGGGCTTCCTGGCTGGCACTGCGGGATGATTTGCTCACGCCTGTAACTGGGAACATTACTGGTTTGTGTAAAACCAGAGATAGATTTTTGGGAAACTTTGGTCAGCTTCATTCCAGTTCTGTGGTGACAGTGACAGCATAACTGTGACCAAGCTGGCACAGGGTGTTTTTGTTGAACAAATCCTAGCGCTCTGACTTTCTTCTTCTTCTTCTTCTTCTCAGCTCAGGGAGGCTGTGATGTCATCAACTAGTTTATTAACTTCTCCAGAAGCCTGTTAAGAGTATGGTACTTGGTAAGAGAGACCCCAGGGCTAAGGATGCTGGGAAGAAGAAACTGGCCAAAGATCCTCCGATCATGGCCTGTAAGGGAAGCAGTGGGCAGGAGAAAACCTTCCTGGGATGCAAAAAATGCAGTGGGATTAAGGGAAACCAAGCCCTTGGCAGCAGACATCGGGGCTCTGGAGCAATCTGTCCAACTTCAGAGCCATTGTGAGAACTCAGTGGCACCCACATCCTCCACAAGTGCCCAGCAGGGAGCGGGCTCCAAAAACAGGGAGGGAATGGGGGCAGAAATTCTTGGAGGAAGGAGCTTATGGGAAAGAATGAGGAACTGTTAGGTAAATAGGGATGAAGAGTGACAGACATAACACATAGCAGATAACATGGCACTTCTTGTTCCCATAGTACCTCAGGTGCTCAAATGTCTCTCTTTCCCACAATGCTGTGAGTTCCAGCTTAAACACTTTTCCTTCCCATAATGCCTTGTGTGCTCTGTCAACCAATGAAAAGAGCCCAGCAGTGAATGCACAAGCCAACAAGCAATCAGCGCAAAGTCCACCGGAGATATGGGAGAAGCCCCATACTATAAAAACCACCCTCCAAGAGGATAACATTGCTCTCCTCTTTGGGGCCCCCTCTCTTCAGACAGTCTCTCTACTTTAGTGGCTTTCCTTTCACTTTCAAATAAGATTGCTCTGTCTGCCTTAAATACTTCTCTGCCTGTTAATGAAAATGAGTCTGTCCCTCTAGACAGCATCAAGTTCAAGCTGGAAGGAACACTGATCATTTCTGCCCTCTACCCAGACACTGCTAGATCCTCATTCCAAATCTAGATTCTTCTCTGATATTCCTTCCGTGTGATGTCCTGTGACCCCCAAGAATGTTAAGGTGGGCAGAGCAAAAGGGCCTTGACAAAATTAGGGTGGCAAGCTTACTGGCACCCAGAGAGAAACCACCCTGCCTTAACTTTCCAGGGTCAAAACCCACTTTAGTGAGGAGAGAAGTTAACTGTCATTCTCCCTTGCCAAAAAGTATATTAAATTCACTGACCACATTTTTCCAAACCCAAGTGCAGAGGACATTAGATCAATGCACGTTGGCTGGGCTCTGGTGTGCTGGGCACCCCACACATTTCATTTTGCATTATTAATATTTAAACCAAAGCAGCTGTTCTCTGCACATACCAAGCCAAGGGCCTGCCCAAGGCTCGGGTGATGACTTTTCTCCGAGGCCAGATGTGTCAGCTAGTAAGCTCTTGTTGACCCTCCAGCCTCTGGCCTCCTGGAGAGAATTTTCCCAGTAGCCATTCATTGATCAAGGATGACATTTCTGGGCTATTTCTGGCAAGGAGACATGGTGATAGATTCTTTTACTTTTTCTTTTTTTGTCAGTTGTGGGGCTTGAACTCTAGGCCTGGGCACTGTCCCTGTGCTCTTCAGCTCAAGGCTAGAGCACTGCCACTTGAGCTACAGAGCCATTTCTGGTTTTCTGGAGTTTAATTGGAGATAAGAGTCTTAGAGAATTTACTTCCCAGGCTGGGTTTGAACCACGAGCCTCCTGAGTAGCTAGGATTACAGGTGTGAGCCACCAGTGCCAGGCAAGATTCTGAAGATCTGGTTTTGCAGAAAGTCCTTGAGGGAGTATGTGGGTGAAAGTACCTCTTTGAAATACCCAATACCCTCTGAGCACTTTACTCCAGGTCAGGGACCCTAATCTCTTTCAAAACCAGAGTGATGTGGGTGCCAGTGGCTCCTATCTATAATCCTAGTTACTCAGGAGGCTGAGATTTGAGGATCACAGTTTAAAGCCAGGCAGGCAGGAAAGTCCACGAGATTCTTATCCACAATCAATAACCAAAACATGAAAGTGGAGCTATAATAAGGTAGAGTGCCAGCCTTAAGCAAAAAAAGCTCAAGGACTGTGCCTAGGCCCCACATTTAATTCCCAGTATCGGTACATATACACAACACACACACACACACACACACACACACACACAAGGAAAAAACACAGAATGACTCTCAAAGCATTTACATGTTGGAGACTGAGGTTCTCAAAGGCATTTGAAAAGTTCTAAGTTCAAACTTCGCCGGGGTTCTGGTGGCTCATGCCTGTAATCCTAGCTACTCAGGAGGCTGAGATCTGAGGATCGCCATTCAAAGCCAGCCTGGGCAGGAAATTCTATGAGACTCTTATCTCCAGTTAACCACAGGAAACTGGAAGTAGCCATGTGGCTCACGTGGTAGTGCTCTAGCCTTGAGTTGAATAGCATAAGGATAGCGCCCAGGCCCAGAGTTCAAGCCCCATAACTGACCAAAATCAATCAATCAAACAAACAAAACCAAAGTTCAAACTTGATTTCTAAGGCTGGCTGCAAGACTCTTGCTGAAATCTCAGAGGTGCAACTTGATATAAAAAGCCCTTTTGCAACCAGTGCAATTCTTCAACCTCTGCCTGGCTTCCCCACAACCCTGTGCCAAGGCTACCCAGACACACCCATCTCTACAGACTCTCTGCTATCACAAGTTACCTTTGCTGTCCCAGGACAAGGCATCTCCTCGCTACCCCACCCCCATCCCGTAGGATGAATTGACTTGTCTCTGCCCCTCTTGATTTGGGGATGCATCCCATTTTGTGTACCTTTATTTCTATACTTATAAAGGCCAACATGTATTGAGCACTGTCTATGTATCTGACTTTAACTAGAGTATCTTGCTCAATTCTCACTGCAACCCTCCAAAGCAAGTACTATAATTATCTCGTTTACAGAAGCAACATTAAGACCTACAGATGGCGAGTAGTTTGCCCAACGTTGTCATTATAGGTGCTCACTACATATCTGTTAAAGTGAAAAAATAAAATGAAGTAAGCAGAAGGATCTTCTCAGGTAAGGACCTACTGAGCTAGCCTAACATCATCCTTTGCTTTAGGCTACTGCCCCAGTCCTAGATCTGAGAAAGAGGAGAGTAGTGATCTAAACCTAGACTCGAACATCAATTCCATCTGAATTTAAATTGGCTACACTTGTTTTCCTACTGGCAAACTGGGGACAATAATAATACCCACTGAGCAACAGAACCCTAGTGTGCAAGGGTATACAACCTTGGACCCACCACTAATGAGTCTAGGCTTTCTTCATCTGTGAAATGGGAATAATCATACCTAATCTAAAAAGCTCTTTTGAGCCTTGAAGCAGATCATAAAGGTTAAGTGCCTATCATAGGGTCTGAGTATTTATTGAACACCAATAAGACCTGTAGAGTCAAAGAGAAGCAAAGCTCACTATGGCAGGGATGGGGGAAGCAGGCACTCTTAATCCTGAATGCCACATCTATGTATTGCCTCCAGAGGTTCTGAATTGCCAGCTCCCACTGTGGGAGGAAAGCAAGAATAGCCAGGAGAGGGAAAAGAGGGAGAAAGGTTCGTGTCACCTTGCACTGTCTGTCCTTGGGGTCCAGTCAGTCTCAGAGACTGTCCTTCAACCTGCCACTCCAAAAGAAAAACCAGAGCGGGCAACCAGGGAATAGAGCTGTTTGTTCCTGTCAATGGCCCTGGAGCTCACTATGTCTCTATAGCCTCACCCAGAACACAGGAGGCTTGGGTGGATGCTTGTAGAAGAGGCTCTGAGCTGTGGCCTACGAGGATTTCTCTTCCATCTTCTCATCCTGTCATTGGCTTTGACTTCCCGCACCTCCAAGTGCCTCTTTTCTGAGCTAGGGCTGGGGTTTGAGTAGAGGAACAGTATTCTCAACTTTCTTTTTTTTTTATTGTGAAAATACTGTACAGAGGGGCTACAATTACATGGGCAAGATAATGGGTACATTTCTTATCAAGCATTGTAGCCTCCTCCTTTGTTTCCCCTTCTCATCCCATCCTCCCCCCACTCCCCACCAGCTTTCTTGTAGAAGACTTGCTACTCTTACTCTTGTCCCAAATAGATATCTGATCCTCTGGGGTCCTCGGAAGGCTTCAGCCTGCCTCTCAAAGTTCCTGTGTTTAAAATAGCCCCTTTCCCTGCAACCTTAGGAATGACTGTGAAAAAAATAAACATCCTCAAATCTTGCCTGGGGCTTTATTTTGAGACTTCTAGCAGTCTGAAACAATCCTTCTCCCTCCCCCTTTCCTCTCCTGGCAGCTCCAGCATCCTCCAATTCAGTCCTGCCCAGGCCAGATCGGGGAAGTGGGGAAGTTATGGTCCATGCAAGAGTCATACCCTGAACTTTATGGGGTTTGCAGCAACCAGGTGCAGAACAGTGTCCCGCCCACTCTCAACAAGAGCCAGAGAACAGACATGGGCAAGGAGGATGTGGTAGGGGCCTGAAGACAAAAGAAGAGAGATAAGATAAAGGAGAGTAATTGTGGAAAGAGAAAGGGCAGCTACAGGTAAGGCGATATACAGAATGGTCACATCATGACCAGTAAGTATAATTTCCACGGGTTGACAGCAGTGGCTGACAGTGGGAGTTAATTTTTTTTTTTTTTTAGGGAGATGGGTTACATTAGAAAAGAGCACATGGCTCCTTTCCAGGGGCCACAGGTCACAATTCCCAGAGGATTCATGGCCAAGATCTTCCTTTTGGGAAACCCACTTCTGCCTTTCTCCACCCCCAGACTTTCTGCTCCAGGGAGGAGCCCTCTGGCAGCTAGAGCCAAACACTCCAGGAGCAGGAAGCCCCAACATTTATCTTCGGGTTATTTTCACTCCCAAGAACAAAGGCGCTTTCTATTCGGCAAGTGGCAAGAACCCACACCTCTGACAAGCCATAGATCACCCTCAGGGAGAAGAGGAAGGAGGGGCTGGTCCAGCATGGGGGCCTGCTTCTTTCTCCCACCAAGAACCCCAAAGGGTGTGTCTGGCTCATGGCTTGCAGTAGAGTCCAGGCAAAAGCAGAAATTGGGTAGGACAAATTGATTCTTTGGGTAGGACAAATTGATTCTAAGAGCTGGCACCAAGAAGAAGCAGGAAATTGAGGAGTGGAAGATGACTACTTCGTCATAAAGTCAAGTGTCAAACCTCAAGGAGAACTCCTTCCCTGCTGGGGGGTCTCTTCACATAAAATATATGATGATTGGATCACCTGAGGAGCTTTAAAGAAAAGTATACATAAAGGTCAATAGTGAAGGGAAAATACATGTTCAATTCATCACTGCCAGTGACAGACACCGTAGCTGAATTTGTTTCCTTCAACAAATTTATTTAAATGCACTAGTATGGATAGATAAATATACACATAATGACATGCATGCATATGTATAAACTATATCTATTTTTACACATTTATCAAGGTAAACACACCGTTCTGCAATATGATTTTTTGGTATAGCATTGCCTCCTTGTATTGACTTCTTAACATTCTATTATATGCTATTGGTGTAGCTAATATTCTATTATATGGCTTCTGATAATTTCCCAGCTTTTTCTATGACAAATGCTGCCTTAGTAAATATCCATGTGACATACTCTTCTGTGTACACCTGAGAATTTTAGTAGGGTCATTCTTACAGGAAGGATTTCAAGGCAGATTAAAGGGCATATGCATAGTTCTTCTGCTGGTTTGTTTTCTCTGCTGGATATTGCTAAATTGTTCTTTGTCTAATTAACATTTATTTACATAGATACCACAATATATGACAGTACCATACTTTCTCTACATCATAATACAATGCATAATTTATATAACTTTTATCTACATTAACTCAATAGATGAGAAAAACAGCATTTCACTGTGTTTATAACTTGTATGCATATATATATATGAATAAAGTTAAGAAACATTTGGTGCATTGAGAAGCCATGTATACTTGAGGTAGCTTTAAAATACATAGACTCTTAGATTACAAAGTAAAAAAGATCTGCCTCAATAGACCTTAAAATTAGTACTTTCATTAGGGTAGCTCATATTTCTTAACAACCTATAAAAGGAAGACTTGATCAAATATATTTCAACTAGAAATTTTAAATGTTCATCAGGGTGCTAGTGGCTCACATCTGTAATCCTAACTGCTCAGTGGACTGAGATCTGAGGGTTGTAGTTCAAAACAGCCAGGGCAACCAAGTGGGTGAGACGTTTATCTCCATCTAACCACCAAAAGCCAAAAGTAGAGCTGTGGTAGAAGGTTAGCCTTGAGCACAAAAGCTCAGGGACAGCACCCATGTCCTGAATTCAAGCCCCAGGACCAGCACAAAAGATAACAGATTTTTTAATGTTCATTAAAAGTCAAAAACCAAAACCAGTGGCTTAGTGAGTGGTAGAGTCCTAACTTTGCATGTATGAGGCCCTGGGTTCAATTCCTTGGTACCACATAAACAAAGGATAAACTAAAACTAGTTAACAAATAAAAAGACAACGCCAGGAGCCAGTGGATCATACCTTAAATTCTAGGAAAGTCTATAAGACTCTTATCTTCAATCAACCACCAGAAAACAGGAAGTAGAGCACTAGCCTTAAGCAATGAAGCTCAGGGACAGCATTCAGGCCCTGAGTTCAAGTCTCAGAACCAGCACACATGCATGCACACACGTGTACACATATATACACACACAAGTGAAACATAAACAACAGACTGAGAGAAGATATATAGTTATGAATATAAAGAACTTCCAAGCAGCATATACAAAAAACTTCTACAAATCAACAACAATTTTTAAAACTATCAACAACAGCCTAATTCTAAAGGGGTAAATCCAAAACATAGAGGGCTCATAAATAAAAATAAACAAATGATCAATACACATATAAGCAGATGTTTGTAACTCCTCAAGGAAAGGAAAGGCAAATTAAAAACACAATAGGAGGGCTGGAAGGTGGCTCAGTGGTAGAGTGCTTGCCTTGCAGGCATGAGGCCCTGGGTTTGATTCTTCAGCACCACATAAGCAGAAAAAGCAGGAAGTGGAGCTATGGCTCAACTGGTAGAGCACTAGCCATGAGCTGAATAGCTAAGGGACAGCGCCCAGGCCCAGAGTTCAGGCCCCATGACTGACAAAAAAAAAAAAAACAACAACCAAAAACACAACAAGAGCTACTAGTAAACACTAGTAGATATTCAACAAACAGCTGGAGGAGGAAAGGGCAGAGAAGAACCCTAATTTGTAATAGTTATAAGAAACCTTTCACTGGCTGATTTCAAGTCACCAATAAAACAACACTGAATACAGAATTAGAAAGCCTCCAGAACATCATTGAGACCAACATGAAGGTTAAAATAAAAGACAGACCATGCCAAGAACTGGCAAGAGTGTAGAGTTCTAGCACATTGCTAATGGTAGTACGAATCAGTACGATCAGAGTAGGAAACTGGCAGTTTCTACTAAGGCTCAAATGTATACGGATCCCATGACAGTATAGGCCCCACAGAAATGACCGCATGTGTGATGGTGATGTCTCACTCTATGTATTAAGTTGGTTGGGTCACAGGGTTCACAGACATTTGATCAAGCATCATTCATGTCTGTGGATGCTGCTCTTTTACATTTACTGTGCTGTGCACTGCTTTGTAATGTAGAATTGTGTTTTCTACAAGAAGGTAAGCTTCTGAGGGCATGGCTACCCTTTTGCCAGACAGAGGAAGGAGACAGAACAGCCTCTAAAAGAACACCTATGAAAGATGGAAATATCCTGAACACCCATAAAAGATAGGAATGCCTGACAATCCCTCAGGGGATTGGTTCTAAGAGGCCCCCTACACACACACACACACACACACACACACACACACACACACACACACCAAAATCTGGGGACATTCAAGTCATAGCTATATATCTATATATCTATATCTATAGTCCCCTACACATACACACACACACACACCAAAATCTGGGGACATTCAAGTCATAGCTATATATCTATATCTATAGTCCCCTACACATACACACACCCACACACCCACACCAAAATCTGGGGACATTCAAGTCATATATATATATATATATATATATATATATATATATATATACATACACACACACACGGCAAGTGACAAGAGCCCACACCTCTGACAAGCCATAGATCACCCTCAGGGAGAACAAGAAGGGCTGGTCTAGCACATGGGCCTGCTTCTTTCTCCCACCAAGTACCCCCAGAGGGTGTGTCTAGCTCATGGCTTGTGGTAGGGTCCAGGAAGAAAACAGAAATTGTGTGGAACAAATTGATTCTAAGAGCACTAGCCTTAAACCTTAATCCTCAAGGACAGCATCCAGGCCCTGAGTTCAAGCCACAGAACCAGCGCACATGTATTCACGCATATGCACACAAACAATACACACACACATGAAAACACAAACGACAGACTGAAAGAAGATATGTGTGTGTGTGTATATATATATATGCATATAGTGGTACAGTATTTGCACACCCTCAAGTATACTTTAACCTCTAGTTAACTGATAATACCTAGGATAATATAATGTAAATGTTATCTAAATTGTCATTATACCACATTGTTTAAGGGATGATAAGGAAAAAAATGTGTATAGGTTCAGGACAGATATGAGTTTTTCACAGATGCACATCCTTCAGATACAAAGGGGCAAACATAGTTATTTAGAACAAGAAAATAATTCATCAACAAAACTCAAACTGCCTGATCCACATTGATAATATTTTCAGGGAGATACTTATTTCTTTAACTGTGGACTGCTTTGTGGATTCTTCTTATACCAGAGGTGTTGTGGAATAGTTTTCTATGAAGACTATACAAAAATAACTCAGTCTTTCCTCTATTAGCATTGGTCAGATTTTTTTTTTATTACTGACCACTCAAAAAATTCTCTTTTTGCCTGGCGCCAGTGGCTTACTCCTGTAATCCTAGCTACTCAGGAGGTTGAGATCTGAGGATCATGGTTCAAAGCCAGCCCAAGCAGGAAAGTCCATGAGATTCTTATCTCCAATAAAACTGGAAGTGGTGCTATGACTCAAGTAGTAGAGTACTCGCCTTGAGCTGAGGGACAGCACCCAGGCCCAGAGTTCAAGTCCCACGACTGACAAAAAAAAAAAAAAATTCTCTTTTTGCTTCACAACTTGATATTGATAATGGCATGTGTTTTTGTTTTTTTTTTTTTTTTAGAATTGTCATTATATTTGGGGAAAACACCAATAAAGTCCTTTTATGGATGAACTAATTTCAGAACATACTACATAACCTTGTACAATGGTTCAACTTAAATATACAAATTGACAATATTCATTAACTGCTTTAGGGTTCTTTTTGTGTCATTTATTAGAACTGTTGCAGTATTTCGCTGATGTATTTCATAGCCAATGATCTAGAAATCTAACATGGCTCATGTGATTTCGTGATAAGTTGAGAATTATAAACACATGACTTTATAGACAGGCATTCTAGCTATGTGAAGTATTGTCAGTCTATATACTATACAAACGGAGGAATTCTGATTAAATCATATTTCACTAAAAAAAGAAATACATATAATTGAGTATTTTCCTGGCAGAAAAGAGTTCCTATTTTGACTTGGCATTGATAAGAACTAAATTCTTGCTTATAGCTTTATATTTCTAACAACAATAACAAAAAAATCCTAGACTACATCAAGTTGATATGTTTCTTGCCCAAGCTAGCTTTGAACTATGGCCCTCAGATCTCAGCCTCCTGAGTAGCTTGGATTATAGGCTTGAGCCACCAGTGCCTGGCTGACTCTAGAACTTTGAGTAGTTTTAAGCTACCCGGTCTGAGGTAACTTGTTATAGTAGCCCTAGGGAAGAAACATACCATACATTCCAAATTGTGTTTCTCCCCTGCTACTCAAATACTGGGTAAATAGGATTTCAAAAGAATAGCTCACAATTTGAAATACCCTCAAACCATGCACCTTACCTAGCCAGGTTGTACAGAGATGGTCCCAGAAGTCCTTCCCAATACACAGGGCCAGCAACAGCCTAACTACACAGGAAAATGAATGTAAGCCACTTGCTCATATCTGACTAAACCCCGACAAGGCATCCTAGCTGGAGCCCTGCAAATCCTCATGCCCTTCAAGGCATTCAACACAGCAGAAATGTGAAGGCAAAGAAATTAGAGTGGAAGAAAAGACAGACATCGGGGCTGGGAAGGTGGCTCAGTGGTAGAGCGCTTGCCTTGCATGCATGAGGCCCTGGGTTCGACCCTCAGCACCACATAAGCAAAAAGAAAAAAGCCGGAAGTGGTGCTGTAGCTCAAGTGGTAGAGTGCTAGCCTTGAGCTGAAGAGCTGAGGGACAGCGCCCAGGCCCAGAGTTCAGGCCCCACGACCAGACCAACATTAACAAAACATATCGCCCCAAGGAAGAAGTGCTAGGGAGAAGTCCTGGGGAGAAATTACACAAGTAGGAAGCTCTGAGCTTTGAATTCCTTGGCTCCTGGTAATCATCTTTGGGTTGTTTTCCAACAAAGATGACCATGACTTTTTCCTGTGATCTAAAAATCCATGATCAGCCAAAATGTGTAGCAGTGGGTGATGCTGAACTATAGGACTAGTTCTAGGAATGCAAGAGCACACACAAGAAGGGTTGTGACAAGAAAAAAATAATAATTCTAAGAGAACACAAAGGGCCCCTTTAATGACACTTAGCCTACGAAGGAGGCAAGTGTAGACCCACTGCTGACCCTGTCTGGGGCAGGAATGACGTCAGTAAGCTAGAAGAAAGGTGAGTATGTCAAATTGAATTCTGTTCCCATAGTTTAGGCAAGACTTTCACTTAGAATGAATGAATATATTCAAGTTGATTTAGAAGCAAGAATTATGTGAAGAGTTTCCTTCACTAAACAGGACATAACAGGCCCTCAGAGGAACTACATGGATCAACAACTTCAAAACTCAGAAAGACGGGAGAGACGCTGGTGTAGCTGAGCAGATAGTCAGGACATTTTCAAGCAAAAGAGACAGTGATAATTGTAGATTCTCTGAGACAGATTTTTGAGCATGTGTGTGTGTGTAAATTTTTGAGACAAGTTTCCATGGGATTTTCAGGATCCCAAAGAGTTTTATGACTTTAGCACAGGTTAAAACTACTTATGAGCCAGGCACTGGTGGCTCACACCTGTAATCCTAGCTACTCAGGAGGCTGGCCTGGGCACGAAAGTCTGTGAAACTCTTATCTCCAATAAACCACTCAGAAAACCAGAAGCGGCTTTGTGTGGCTCCAGTGGTAGAGAGCTAGCCTTGAGCTGAAGAGCTGAGGGACAGCACCCAGGCCCAGAGTTCAAGACCCACAACCAATAACAACAAAAAAAAAACCCTACTTATGTTCTTCTGATCTACTTTCACAGATGGTGAAACCGAGGACAGAAGAAGGAAAAGACCTGCTCAAAGTCACAGCGCAAGGTGAGGAAGAGTGAGGACCAGCACAAAGATCTCCAGCACTTCCCAGACCAAGATCTGTTCTTGCCTCTACTCTCGCTGCCTCTCACATACCACCATTCTTTCTGTTTGTTTGGTTTGGTGTGGGGTTTGGGGTCTTTTTATTTGATTTTATTTTATTTTGCAGGGAGGCAGTCCTGGGGCTTGAACTCTAGGCCTGGGCTTTGTCTCTGAGCTTCTTTGTTGTTGTTGTTTTGTCAGTTGTGGGGCTTGAACTCAGTCCTGGGCACTATCCCTCAGCTCTTCAGCTCAAAGCAGCACTCTGCTGCTTGTGCCACAGCACCATTTCTGACTTTCTCTGTTTATGTGGTGCTGAGGAATAGAACCCAGAGCTTCATGCATGCAAGGCAAGCACTCTACCACTGAGCCACCATCCCAGCCCCTCTCTGAGCTTCTGCTAAAGGCTAGCACTCTACCACTTAAGCCACAAAGCCACTTCTGGCCTTTTTTTTTTTTTGAGTAGTTTATTGGAAATAAGAGTCCCAGGGATTTTCCTGCCTGGGCTGGCTTTGAACTGCAATCCTCAGATCTCAGACTCCTGAGTAGCTAGGATTACAGATATGAGCCACCAGCACTGACCACACCACCATTCTTTTGCTTTTCCCAAAATGCTTTTCTCTCTCTCTATCAGAAAGTATTAAGGTTGCCTGGAGCTCTACTATGGGGGCAGTGAGTGACTCATACGCTCTTTGTGTACAACTGTCTGATTCATAAGGAAGGAGAGCAGGTGCTGAGCATAATCCTCAATCTCAAAGGAAGCCCCTTTGATCTAGAAACTCCCAGACACTCCTTGTAAGGAGCAGAGTCTGGATATGTGAGAAAAAAATCATGGGGGTCACTTTAAGAATCATCTGGGATGGGGCTGGGAAGGTGGCTCAGTGGTAGAGTGCTTGCCTTGTATGCATGAGGGCCTGGGTTCGATTCCTCAGCACCACATAAGCAAAAAGAAAAAAGCCAGAAGTGGTGCTGTGGCTCAAGTGGTAGAACACTAGCCTTGAGCTGAAGAGCTGAGGGATAGCGCCCAGGCCCAGAGTTCAGGCCCCACAACCGGACCCCCCCCCCCACCGAAAAAAAGAATCATCTGGGAATCTTAGAAATATCAGGAGCAGTGGATTCACCAAGAGTTTTCTGTGCTGTCAAGTTCATTTCACTTTCTTCACAGATTCCCTATACTGCTGGATTAGGAGGAGCTAACGGAAGTGGTTCATCTGACTTCTTCCAAGCTCTTGATGCAATGGCTTAGGATGGGAAAGGGGAAATGTACAATAGTTTGGGGTTTTTTTTATTCACAGATACTTCAGGGTTTGCTCCTGTCTTGCTCTAGTCAACCTGTCTGCCAATGAACAAGATAAGACTATCCATAGCACACTTACCAAATTTGTATATAAAGTCAACCTGGAATCATTGGCCCTTCAATAAATCAACTCCTAAAGGAAGAAACCAAGGGAGAATGAAAGACATTTCTTCCTGAAAAAAAATGCTCAGTTACAGACAAGATGGAATTATGAACCGCTATGGCTTGTACTCCTATATGACAGAGATATGAGTGGAGTGGAGGAAGTGTCCTCAGACACACTGGGATTGTCCTGGGAGAGGCAACTGCTGAGAAGTCTTGAGAACAAGGGAGCAGTTAGCCAAGCAAACCGGGGGGAGGGGAGGAATGGCAATCCACTAGAGGGAAGAGCCAGGCAGGTGCAGGTGGGCTCAGGCCTGCTCAGGAAGCTGAGGTGGCTCTGAGAGCAGAAAGGCGTAAGTCCAGGAACAAGATCTACCAAGAGTTATGCTGAGCTGATCCTGGAGGAACTCACACTCACATTACTTAACAATGTGGAATCACTTAAACTTTAAAAGAGGCCTTCAAAGAGCTCCATGGAGCCAGGGATATGGGTGCAGAGGTCAAACAATGTAGGATGGAGAGTTATGTGCTTTTGTTGGCCCCTCTGCCCCGTGGAGCCCAGACTCATCCCTTCCCTCTACTCCAGTCACATGGGGCTAAAGACAATCAAGCAACATCCAGACTTAGGACTTTCATTTACCCTGGCCTTTTCCCAGGCCAGACTGCTCTCATACCCTTCCTCTATCCTGTATCTGATTAAATCCCTAAGTCTCAGTTCAAATATTACTTCCTTGGAGAAACCTACTCTGACTACCCTTAATGTTTCTATAGCATTTTGCTCTACTTGGACACCATGGATGGTAATATGTAATCTTTTAAAGGGTGTACTTATTTAATGCCACATTATCCACTGTGTAGCAAATCCTGAGAGCCAAGCTGAATGTATTTTGCTCATGACTATACCCCTTGTGATTATTAGCAAGCATTTTTATTATTTGCTTGTGGCTCACACCTGTAATTCTAGCTGCTCAGGAGATCTGGGGATCACAGTTCAAAACCAGCCCAAGAAGAAAAGTCCATGTGCCATATCCCCAATTAAACACCAAAAAAACAAAACCCAGAAGTGGAGCTGTGGTATAAGCAGTAGAACACCGACCTTGAGCTTAAAAGCTAACAGATAGCACCCTGGCCCTGAGTTCAAGCCCTAATACCAGCGTGCGCACGCATGCTTATGTGTCGTGTGTGTGCTTAAAAAACAAACAGAAAAAAGTGCCAATTACCTACCATTACGTAGCAAACAATTTCAATATCTACTAGCTTAAAAACATCAACTACTGGGCTGGGAAGGTGTCTCAGCGGTAGAGCGCTTGCCTTTCATGCTCGAGGCCCTGGGTTCGATTCCTCAGCACCACATAAGAAAAAAGAAAAAAGCCGGAAGTGGCGCTGTGGCTCAAGTGGTAGAGCGCTAGCCTTGAGCTGAAGAGCTGAGGGACAGCGCCCAGGCCCAGAGTTGAGGCCCCACGACCGGACCCAAAAAAAAAAAAAATCAACTACTTTATTCCTCACAACACCTCAGCTAGGCAAGCTAATAACTGGGGAGGGTATAAGCAAGATGATTCATCTCTTCCACATGGCATCTACAGAGGTCATTTAATGTTGTCAGCTGGCAGATGGTCTAGTTTGGAGAGTCTGAGCTGTCTGTGTCCATGTTTCTAGTGTTTTGACGGCTGGGAGGCTGAACCCAGACCTAATGACCCGAGGGGTACGGCTAGCATAAGAGTTCCTGCATCGGAGTATTCCACAGAGCTAGGTGGATGCCTCAAGGTAATTTACAACCCACTTCAAAAGTTCCAGACATTGACTCCTACTACATGCTAATAGCCAAGTAATTCACTAAGAGCAGCCCAGATGGGGTTAAGGATCTCAACCCCTCTACCCTAGTGGAAAGAACATCAAAGAATTCACAGGCATCTCTAAGTTACCACAGTGGAGATATTTATCTTTTCCTAATGACCAACCTGACTTCAGTGTCCAGGAAAGATGAAGAAGAATAGATCACACGCACATGAGAGATCGATTCAGAACTTCCTAGAAAAAAATATGTGTTTAAATCATAACAAGTGGAAGGGGGAGAAAAGCACAAATGTGTTGGTCCAACCTTATCTATGGCTTCATTTTCCATTGGGGTCCAATGGAAAGTTCCAGAAATAAACAGCCCTTAAATTTGAAGCAACTTTTTACTGTAGTATAGTATTGTAATTATTCTATTTTATTTCTATTGTTTATAATTTCTTACTGTGCACAATTTATAAATTAAACTTTATCATAAGTATGTATGTATATATATAGTATAGTATAGATAGATAGATAGATAGATGGTACCATCCATTATTTCATGCATCCACCGGTCTTGGAACACATTCCTCACAGATAACAGGAACTACTGCAAATAGTGAGACCCTGGTACTTACTTTACAGGGCTGTTGAGAGGTTAAGTGACTTCATCAGAAGAACTTAGGCCTCGGACAATGGGAGTGAGGATGGTTGAAGTAAACACAGCCCTTAAAGAGAGTTTCCCCAGACACAAGCTCCCAGGAGTCCAGCTAATCACATGACCCAGCCCTACTATTGACACCAAGGGCAACTACTCAGAAACCCTAGGCCCTTGTGGACCTCTAGTCCAGCCTAAGATGCATTACCTTCCCCTTCCCCACACCAGTCTAAATCCAAGTACGGTCCTACTGCCCAATGCTAATACTAAATAAAACAATTAAAAGAGCTCAAACATCAAGTTCACCTCTAATAAATCCTACTCTGCTCTCAGCCCTCACTTTAACTACAATTTCATCCTCCCTTAGGTCCAAGGAAATATGCAAAGGCATGGCCTTTGGGAAGAGAATCCTGTCTACCCTACAATCTAGTGGCCTTGACTGATAGCTGTCTTCAATTTGTAATCTAAATTATGGCTTGATCCTTGGGCTGAAAAACTCATAGGGATATTTTTGTACACAGAAATCTAGTTGAAAAGTACCAGTTCTTGGAAGTCCATAGCTGAGAAATAATGTGCATTTTAGTTATTTCTTTCATGAATAGTGGACAGGGACAGAAATCCTTAGGAAATTCTTCTCCCCCAACCCCCAATCTGCAGGATTTTCAATTTGTAAAGGAAGAATAATTGTCACCTTTTAGAAAGATGGGGGAAGGGGATATGTCCCAGATAGAAGATTCAAAAATTAAAGAGTCCACAGAATGTTTTAGTCCAGAGCCTAGAAGGCAGGTTCTAGGTGCCTGGCCTGTGGCCCACAGGGTAGAAGTCCGAAGGGCTGTGGGTAAGTGGGGCCTCCCCAGCCTGACTCAGAGCATGAGGCCAGAAGCAAAGTCCCAGAGTGCTCTGGTGGTATAGGTGAGGTCAGTCTGGAAATATGACTCCAAACCCAGCTGTCAATCAAAGGAAACAAGACAAACAAAAGAGACGGAGATGCAGAGCCTGCAGGCAGAGTGGGGGACAGGAAAAGAGCAGGCCAAAGGAAAAACAGCCCCTTAAAACAGAAAAAAAAATGGAGGAGTCAAGTGGTCTGAATTAATCCCAGGGTCAGATGCCTGTACCTTAAGTAGTTTTATAATCTCATAGCAAAGTTTGCCTTTTTTGAATGATCTTCCCCCCCCTCAAATTCAATAAAACATGGAAGAAAAAAATTAAAGTTCCAAA